CGGGGGTGCTCCAGGGAAGGGGTCGGCCGGATGGGAGGCACCCCAGGGAGGCACTCGGAGCCTGGAAGGTGGTCGGGAGCAGGGAGGTGGGCGGCTCAACGCAGGAGCGCCCCCTACTGGCCCGCCACAATCCTCCCCCTCTATGCAACACTGGTCAGGCCGCAGGTGGAGTACTGCGTCCAGTTCTGGGTGCCACACTTCAGAAGGGATGTGGACAGCATCAAGAGGGTCCAGAGGAGGCCACCCGCATGATCTTAACTATATACAATATATTCAGTTATAATATACATAAACATAAAACTAAATATCACGTACATATATTTACTCAGTGAACATTAACCAATAACCCAGGCCAAACCCTAAATAACACTACTTACCTATCACAATAAAACAATTTCAGTAGCAACATCACAATACAACATTTCAGTTACAAAACATAAAGCACAAACATGAGCAATCTTAATAATATCTATTGCTTAATATACTCCCTGACCCATGGCAAGAGATAGTCCTCCTTCCAATGGGGTCCTTTGCGGGGGGTGTCCAGGAAGCACCAGGGGCCCCTCCCCTTAGGGCCTTGCCTTGACTAGGCGGGGGGGCTACTCACCCAGCCCCGTCTCTGGGGCTGCCTGCCCTAAATGTCTTTCCCCTGTGGGACCCAAGGGCCCAATGACTCCCGCTTCCTCAGGTGGAGGAGGTCCGGGCGCAACTCGATGGGGTCTCCTCTGCTGGAGCACCTCTGCTGGCCTCTCCCACACCACTGGGCTCATCCCCACCCTGTGCCCTGCTCTGAGCACCAAGGACTCAGCTCCCCTCAGCTGCTGCACCACTGCTGCTGGCTCCTGGGTGCTGGGCCTCACGCTGCGGCACTATTTCCCCATACCCTGGCTTCAGCACTGAAGGCTTTTTTAGCAGAGGCCAGGCCCTTCAGGCTCCGGCCAGCCTGCTTGGGTTAGCCAGGTGGCTAACCCAAGCAGCCTCCACTGCTCCCTGGCTCCCAAGGCTTGGGCCTGTGCACCACCCTGTGCACCGTGGGACCTGGTCGCTTGCCGGGAGATGGGGCTTGAGCTGTCTCACTGCAGCCCCCAAGGACCTTGCCCCGTGTGCTGCCCTGCACAGTGTGTGGCCCGCTGGCCCTGCAGGGGTTGCAGGCTTGAGCCACCACTTGTGGCTCCCAAAGCCTGGGCTCCGTGCACCAAACCGTGCACTGTGATGGGCCCAAGCAGTTTCACACTGCTCCCAGGGCAGGCTCCCTGCACTGTCCCCATGCACCATCAACAGCCCGAGCAGTCTCGCAGGCTCCCAAGGCTGCTCCTCTAGGGGCAGCTTCACGAGCCTTGGGCCTATTGCCCACTGGGGGGAACCTCCCCAGCTTCTCTTAACTCCTCTCTTCTTGACTCCCTCACTCTATTTGCCCCTCATGCTGGGCACGCTGGACTTTTATTTACACCAGAAGCCCCCACCCCTGAAGTCTGCCCGACCTGCAAAGTGCAGTCTTCAATCAGGTCCAGCAGCTCCTTGCCGCCTCCCTTTGGCAAAGGGCGAGGCATTGCTTCCCTTGTGCTGCCTCCGGATTGGTGGGCGGGCTCCACCAATCATACAGCACACCCTCGATCCTGGGACTCAACCCAAGCTCCGAAAAGGTAAGCCTGCTACACTTGCATGTTCCAGCCTGCAGGGGGCAGCAGGGCCATGGTCCATGCACCCATGTCTGGGGTCTGAGCTGCGGCGTCAGGGACCTGGTTTCCATCCCTGGTCTCTGCCCCTACGTGACTGATGTCAGAAGAAGCTCAAGCAGATGCTGTTTTCCCATTTTCATAGTGAAAAAAATCCTTTTACCAGTGGTCTTATACAAATGAGTTAGAGGGAGCTGATGCTGAGGGATGTTTTTTGCCTGTGGCGTCTCAGTCAGAGAGCTAGGAAGGGGCACACGATGCCTCCCATGATGAGAGGCCTTCCCCAGGCAGGGTGGGATGCCCCCCTGGAACAAGGAGCCAGCACCACGTCAGTAATTCCTGCCATGAATTAACAGGAATCATCTGGAAACTGGGAAGGGGTCCACCCCCCACTCCTATTGCTGCTGGGCAGGAGGGGGTTGTCCAAGGCCACACATGTTGGTTCAGATGCAATTATTTTATTGCTTTCTATGGAAATCCCCCAACTTCTGCACATCCACTTATCGTGGTTTTCTTTGATAAAAAAAAATCCCCAATTCTTGGATTAAAAAAGGTAACCCAAAATCCACTGAGACTGTGACTGAGGTAGGGGAGGGCAGTGGGTAGGTATGGGAGGGCATGGGTGAGAGGGTGCGTTTATTGTAACAGGAACACAGGTTTCTCAATGCGGTTTAAGGGTGCGATGGAAAGTTTATGATAAAGGATGTATATATATAACTAGAGAGAGAGAGAGAGCGCGAGAGAGAAATATATTTAAAGAAAAAATCACGTACATAAAGTGCCCCCACTGCCATTTTGAAATGAGAGACACTTAGTAAATGATGCTGCAGTGTTCTAATTAGAGGCTATCTGGGAGCCACTCTAATTAAAACTCCCACCCCACCCTGGAGCAGGGGGAAGCCCAGGCTGCAGCACGTGCGGCTGGTCCTGGGCACACAGGGGGGCTGGGGCTGCCCAGCAGCCAGACTCTGTTTCCCGGTAGCTGTAGTGATGGCGGTTCCTTCGGACTGCCAGACCCAGGCCATTGACTGCACACCCACCACTGGGGTGGGACCCTCATGGGCAGGACGTATGGCTGGGTGACTGGGATGGGGCCGCAGGCAGGCTGGGAGCTGCATCCGGGAGTAGGTCAGGAGGGCAGGCCTGGGGATGGGATCGGGAGCACAAGGTGACATGAACGACTGGTACCTCCTGGGGGGGGACCCGGGGTGGGGGCACCATGGCAGTGAGCGGGGACTGCTCACAGCCACCAGCATCGGTGTCGGCAGCAGGGGGCGGTGGCAAGTGAAGAGCGGCGAGCGGGGACTGCCCGCAGGCACCGCCAACCGTGTTGGCAGCGAGGGAGGGGGCCGGTGCAAGCGGTGACCTGCAGAAGCCAGTGGTAGCTTTGGTGGCAGCCAATCTCGGGGGGGCATGTGCCCTCCCCACCATGTGGGGTGACATCCATCCCATCCCCGCAACCACATACCCTGCCCACATGGGTCCTGGCCCCATGGCATCACTGCCCCGTGATCCTGACCCCTCCCTGGCTGTGCCTGCCCGTCCCACTCCAAGATGCTGCTCCCCTCCTGCCTGTGGCCCTGTCCCAGCCACCTGGCCACGCACCCAGGCCACGTAGACAGTGTTGGTGAGCTGTTGTGGGTGTGTGCGGGGGAGGTATGACAGCTCACTAACACTCCCTAAGTGGTCCTCTGGCCAAATAATTCCCAACCCTTAACTGACACTAACATGCCTGGGGGCTGCGGGTTGGGAGTGAGGGGCACCGGGAAGGAGGGGCAGCCCCACGGCAGAGCATTGCCCCTATTTTGTGCTAGAGACAGGACTGGACCTGCACGCGGTGAGTGCCTGAGGGTTGTGCTGGGCCTCTGCTCCCCCAGCCCCGATCCTGCCAGCCCCCATGCTCCACCCCCTCCCAGACAACCCAGGGCCTGAGCCCCATTTTCATATCATATGACATCCTCTGAGCAGTGAAGTGAAAAATGCAGTTAAGCTGTTTCCCCATTTTTGGTGCTAAGTTTACCACTGGGGCTTTCACACACACTTGCCTCCCCAGCAGGTGCTTCCCTTGCACATCTTCCCTGCTCCCCGCCCCGCCCGGCCCCGCCCGGCTCGCTGCATCTGCCGGCTGCTGAGCGTAACGGCAGGGAGATGCTGCGTGTGTGCGTGTGTTATATCTCTTATTAGACCTACTAAACAGTTAGGAGCATTTTTCTAACAAGCCTTTGGGCTTAAAAGCCCTGGTCAGGCTGGGGAAGCGCCTGCAGTTGGTGTGTGCTCTCCCTGGATGGCAGGAGTAGTAAAGCTGCAGCACAACAGGCAGTCCACGCAGAGGTGAACTGAGGAGCCGGTGGGGAAGAAACAGGCTTGGGGGGAGATGCATGTAGCAGGGAAAAATGCAGCGGTACCTGGGCAGTCAGATGTCCGGCAGCTCCTAGTGTGTCATGAATCCCATGTCTATGTTCGGTCCAGGGATGCACTCAGTAGCTGTGTCTCTGAGGGCTGTGCTGAGTTGCTCTTGCTTTGGAGCAGGTATAATTCCTTGCCTGGAGGTGTCCGATGGCGGGAGCAGAGGTAAAAAATCTTTATTGTTGTTCTGAAATCAAGTTTAAAATCCAAAATCGGCTAAAATTTGGCATCTTCCATGTTTCAGGGATGGACATGGTAGCCGTGTGGGTCTGAGACGAGAACAAATACAGAAATGTAGAGCTCTTGGTTCCAAAATGAGACCGTTGAGACCAACTGGGAAATCACAAGAAAAAGCTGGACCCAGAGGGACAGTTTTCCATCTCCAGCTCCCTCTGTGCAAAAATGAAGTTTCTTTCCTAGATTAATACTGAGAGATTGGAGAGAGAGTGATTTTCTTGTGAGAAATGTGCCCCACCGGTAATCGGGTGTTCTGGTCTTTGATAGATTCCCAGTGTGTGTTCACTCTGGTGCACAGCTGTTGTTGGGTCTCCTGCATATTTCCCACCAGGGCATGTGGTGCACTGAGATGTATGATGTCTCTGGAGGTGCAGGTGTAAGATCCAGGGATGCCGATGGCTCTGTTGTGGGGTGTTGTAGTTGTGGGGTGTTGGAGATGTGGTGGCAGGTTTTGCATTTCTTGTCATGGCCTGGCTGGATCCATTTGGTGTGTTTTGAGCCATAGGAAGTTTGCTTCTGGTGATGTGGTTAGCAAGGTTCGGTGCTTGTTTGAAGGCTGGGATGGGTGGGTCTGGGAAGAGCTCTCTAAGAATTGGGTCTTCTTCTCGCCTGGGTTGCAATTGTTTGAGGATTTTCCATACAGGTTCGAGGGGCGGGGGGTGATCTTTCATAACCAGCGGTGTGCGATTTGTTGGGGTTTTCCTTCTGCACTGCAGCAGTTCTTCATGTGGCATCTGAGTGGCTCTTTCAAACTTGCATCTGTCTCTGGAGGAGTGTCCTTGTTGGGTGAAAGCCTTTTTAAGATTGGTGAGGTGGCAATCCCGGGTGTTGTCCTCAGTGCAAATGCAGTGGGATGTGAGGACCCGGCTGCCTTTCTCCCAAAGGCTGTCTGGCTGCCCAGGACAGTGCTGCACAGATCCCACCTCTCCCAGCTGGGGAGACTCAAGGGTTGGGGCGCACAGACCGGCAGCAGATCTGGAACTTGTGGAGCTCCCCAAATTCCCCTCCAGCCTCTACCCAGTACTGAGAGGTGGCTGGTCTTCATATTCTAATGAATGAGCTCGGACCGGTTTGATTTAAATGTCTTTGTTTCACTGAAACTTTTGGAACTGGACAGACCCCACTTAGCTGAGATGGACAACCTTGGGCAAGACGGAGGGTTTCTGATCTGGCCTGGTGCTTTGTTTAATGGTGTTTGCTGGTTCCCGGCCCACGGTGCCCAGACCGGCTGTCACACATGCAGGGGCTCACGCTGCGGTTACTCGCAGACGGGCTGTTTGGGCCTCCTGCTTGTCAGCTTGTCTGCAGCTTAGCCGGGGCCCTTGAAAATGGGCAGGTGGAGACAGGCCGCAGCAGCCGTCCCGCTGCGGCTGCCAGGGTTGTTATCAGGCACTTGAGAAAACACCGGCCGAGGCCGAGGCCGAGGCCGTGCCCCCGCTGCAGAGGAAGGCAAACCCCCCAGTCTGGGCCAGTCTCACCAGCGTGCAAAATGCCTTCCTGACCCCTAATCTGGTGTCAGCCTGAGGGAGGCTTAAACCCCCTGAGATGTTTCTCCAGGCGCGTCTACGCGAGACGTTTGCTGTGGAGCTCCTGTCGGCTGGCCCCGCGCTGGAGCACCCTCGTGCCCGGCCGCCTCCGCAGCACGCTGAGCCGGGGGAGCAGCCCCGGGTGGGCAGGGCGGGGCCTCCCTGCCCCCCGCCAGCTGGGGCTGCTCCCCCCCCCTCCCGGCTCAGCGTGCTGGGCTCTCAGGCGCACGGTCGCACACTGCGCCCCGAGCAATGAACTTGGTGCAATGTACATCAGAGTTTATTGCTTTGAATTAATTGCATCTGTAGACATGCCCTGTGTCCAGGTGGCTCGCCCTGTGAGGTGGAAGGTGGGCAGAGATTCACCTGCCAGACCCAGTGATCGGCACCGCCTGTGCTCAAGACCCTGGGGTCAAACCCCACCTCCTTAGTGTTACTGAAAAAGTGGGCATGCGAGGGGGAAAATCCCAGTCCTTGCCAGTTTGTTGCATGTGGTGGGAGGGCTGGAGGCAGATGGCCTCGTCATGGTACAGACCCCGGGAGAAGGTTTCCAAAATTACATTATTCCTACGCTTTTAATTTACCCCCACCCCCACCCCTTCCCAGTCCTTCATAGAAATGGTGTGTGGGGGGCAGGGCCTAGAGGGAGGCCGGAGGGAGCAGACCTGCTGCTGTCCAGCTGCCTGATATGGTCCAGCCCCCGCCTGACCTTAGAAACCCCCTTCGTGCCCGACCTTGGTCCCTGCGCACAGCTGGCGTCCTCCCCCCTCTGCACTGGAAGCCCAGGGCTCAGGGCTTAATTGTGAGTGGGGGGAAGGGGGGAATCCCACTTCCAGCTGACAGCAGAGCAGAGCCAGCTTAGCTGGAGACATAGGGGGGCCCTGGAGCGCTGTGCCCCGCGGGGCTGGGAGACACGTAGCAGGGCTGGCTCCGGGGAGCCCTGTTAGACCCCTGGCAGGTGGCAGCTGGGTTTGTGGCAGTGGTGAAATCCCTTTTTTTTAAAAATTAAAATGTATTTCTCTATATAGAGAGAGTTATAGGTATACATCCTCTATCATCAATCTTCCATCACGCATCTTATGCATTTAAGTCGGCAGGCCCGGATGAGCTCCATCCGAGGGTGCTGAAGGCACTGGCC